ATAGGGATGACTGTCGCCAAAAGCCCTCCACGGGTCGTGGGTTCTGTGCGATGGAGGCATTGAGTAATCTGGTAAGGGGCTCAGCCAAGTGGTCAACCAGTGGTCTCAGGATAGTAGGGTAAATGCCATCTGGTCCTGCTGCCTTAGTTGGAATGAGCTCCCTTAAAACCTGATGTACTTCCTCTGCAAAGATCACCACGTCAAGCATGAGTGTTCTCTCATGGCCCTGACGCGTTCTCACTGGTCTTGCTACTTTCTGGAGCACTCTCAGCCAACCAGTTTAGCCGGCACGTCCTACGCTGCAGGTCCTCGGTGCCTATCTTGCTCCACTGACGTCGGAATCTGTCAGGAGCAAGTAGTTCCTGTATTCTAATCCTCATCCTTATAACCCCGTGGTCGCTTTTGCCCATCGGGTCTTCTACGGCAATTCCCCGCACCTCGTTGAGGAACTTTGTGCACACTAGGTCCAGAGGAGAAGCTGTTTGCTCGACTTCCATCTGGTCTGGCCATTCACATGTTGTATCAAGGCCCTTCAATGCAACATTTCAATTAGCCTTTCCCCGAACGTCCCCAGTGGTGCCGTTTCGGTGGTCCAATTGATTTCCGGAGCGTTTAAGTCTCCTACTAACAACACCCTGTCACTGGATGCAGCCTGTTCAGTTAGCAGATCTAGCAGTAACTGATTCTCCTCTATAGTGGCTGATAGGCTTCTGTAGACACCGATGACGGATGGCCAGTGTTGCGCAGTTTGCACACTCACCTCCATCGCTTGTACATTCGGGGTGTTGTGGTGACGCCCTTTATGTTGGCTGTTGTGGGCAGCTACGAGTACCAGCACTCCCCCTCCAGCCCGTCCATCTTGGTGATCCACTGTGCTGGGGATATAGTTGGGAGGGCTCAGGTTACTACCTTCGTCACTGGGTCGCAGCCATGATTCTGTGATTACTACCACGTCATCTTCGTTTGCCTGTGCTTTTAGTTCGGACCATTTGTTTCCTTTACTAGTGGTGTTTGTGTACCACACCCCTAGTTCCAACTTTCCCCTTGATTCCCTGTACCTCGTGGGTTTAGTCAGTCGCTCGGGCCTTAGACGCAAACTCCCCATCAGTTTTTTGTGTCCATATTGTTGCTGTTCCTATTTTTTCCAAAATAGGTCTCCCGGTAGGCTGCTCGGTGGGGTGATTAAACTGGGTCTGCCATAGTTGGTGCTACACTGCCCTGTCTGATCCGTCGGTGCCTCCTTGGGGCTCCATAGCAAAGTAGACCTCAGCCGCTAGACCTGAAATTGAATCTGACCCATTTGCGCTGTGTTAAAGGCAGGCGAGTTGGATGGGCTTGATAACACGTGGGCTTTCCCGTGGGCCGCGTCATCTGTCCGGTTA